AAAAAGTTTTACTTTCAGTTTGTAAGAAAGCTATTGTAAGGACAAGTTTGAACTTGTTATAGTGAGAATTAGATGACAAGACTGGGTATACAATTATTACTGCAAGGAGAATATGTGAGCTGATCATAAATATTTATGGTTCTTTCAATAATGTATATATTTTAAAAGGAAAATATTTTATATACATTAAACAACAAAACAAAAATTCTTGAGACTAAATCAATTAAGGTAATTTTAATAACCCTTTAACTATCTGGAGATGATCTTACAATTTCATCATTAGTAACAAAAAAGGTCTTCTGAAGTAAACAATATACAATAATGCCCTAACTTTTTCTGGCTAATCCCAGTTTAAACAGACCCACCCAAATTCAAGTACTCTATCTCCTGTTTTTTTTATCTACCAGTCAAGAGTATGACAAAAGCAGACAAATTTTTTAGACAAATTGTGTATTAACTCAAGTAAGTTTGCAGATGAGTATCATTTGCCATAACCATGTAACCCTCCACTTAATTTACAGTTGATGTAAACAGAGAAAACTTAAATGAAGGATTTATATTTTTGCTTAGCACACAGTACAAATTGTCGCATTATAAGTGTTTGGTGAATAATGTGTCTATATGCTCAGTTGACTAAGTTGTTGCTCTCAAAGGCATACACATGTAACTATGTCATTTATGCAGGCATCTTTACCAATTGAAAGCCAGAAATTTATATTTAACAATGTTGATGTCATGGTTGTCATTATACAATCCAAGAATGAGGCAATTTGAGAAAACATTCCAAGACCAAAAATAATTCTTTCATAATGTGATATGGGTAAGTAGAGATGCAGGAACCAACTTGCATCTTGTTTAATTTCTTAATATACAAATATATCCGACAAAAAGCTACAAAATTGGTTTAAAAAGTTTTGTGTTGGATTAATCCCTGGCTAAATGATGTTTCATGACCAGGAAAACCTGTTGGAGTTAATAACAATCAAGTCATGATATTACTTGAGAAGAATACACATTATATAACAGAGGATGTAATTATTAGAACGAATGAAAGGTTTGACATATGTTTAATAAGTCTACTCACACTAACATAGGATACATAAACAAATGCAATACAAAATTTATTTTAAAAATGTATATTTATCCTTAATTCATTTTATCAATAACTAAAATTGTAGAAATATAAATTATCTTATAAAATATTTTTTTTTTTAGAGAAATAGAATTTATTGGGAAAATATGATTTCAAATAAATAGAAGAAAAATAATTGGGTTCCATCTTAATTACAAAATTTGGTAAGTTACTTACATTATAGCTGGAAGCTGAAGAGAGAGCAGAGAAGGGAAAGATCAAGGTGAGATTGAGGAGAGTGAGAGGGAAGCAAGAGAGTGAGGAAATTGTAGTGAGAGAGAGGGGAAAGCCAGAAGAGATTGATCTGATAGAAGGAGGAAAACAAGGAAAGGTAGAGTCAAGAAAAAAAGAGGGGAGGTCAAGATGCTGGAGAAAGAAAGTGATAGGGAGATGTAGGGATATGAGAGAGAGAGAGAAAGGATGATGAGGGGAGATTAAAGAGGCTTGTGTGAGAGAAATAGATGAAGGATAAAGAGTTACTGAGTGCCAAGAAAAAGGGAGATGCAGATAAAGAGAGGTTGAGTAAAGTAATATTTAAAAGGTGATAAAAGAAATGGAAGAAAAATCATGACGAAGAGTAAATGAAGCTGAAAACGGAAAGTACTTTAACCTTTGACTGGTGTCAAGAAAAAGAAATAGGGTGAATCATTATTTTAACTCTACTGACATACTTAGCAAAATTACTACAGCCCTTGATCTACTTGAAAGAACTGAATTTTTTTCCTTCCGTTTTCAACAATAGACAAATGTATGTTTCCTCACTTAATGTTGCTAACAGGTTTTAGATGAAAATTTAAAGCAAATCTTGAATATGAAAAAATAAATCTTGTCGGTTGTAGTGAGGGGAAGTGACAATTTGTGTGTGTGTGTGTGTGTGTGTATGAATTAAATCGCAAGGTCTTGGTGCAGGGAACTATAAGAAGAGCAAAATGTTCCCCAGTCACATCAGAGCCATATTCCTATACTCTGCCTTAATTTCTCATCAAGCAAATAAAGCATAAAAATCATTGTCATCATTGACTATTCTTTGATACTGAAAAGATATTGGCAGATTAATGGTAAATTCTTCAGTACAATAAAGATACAAAGCATTGAAAGTTTATTCCATTCACTTATAGTCACTAGATTTTCAAACATTCTTTTGAGAGTTTATACTATAAAATAAAAATGAGAACAGAAATTAGAAAAGTAGAGGAACTGTTGTATTTCCTGTTTTTAGTCCCACTGCTTAAATGGGTAGGGTGGGGTGGGGGCAGGAGTTGAGGACTTCTTTCACCATTTCTCAGATTTATTAATCTCTTTTTATACAACCCTTCTTACTGCAAATCAACACAATTTTCTTAAATAATCTATCAGAAATAAAATAAAAAGGGATAATCTGTGTGCGATAATTTAGCAGATGAGTGTTGTAGGAAAGATTAAAACTTCTGCAGAGTTAACAAAGTGTATAATCTCTGATTATGGATGTGCACATAGCGTAGTGATTATTAGTATGGAAAGAGGTACTGGCATGCCAAGTTCAAATTCCAGTTGGAAGGGTATGAACAGCTACCATCCACCCACTCCTGAAAGTCCTGCTATTAACACCTCGATAATGGTATTTATGGGTTAATAGCAGGACTCTCTAGCCTTGCGTGGTAACTAGTCTCAAAGAAGGGAAACATTAAAATCAAAACCAGCTAATTGCCCTAGACACACCTGTTGCTATAGCTGCATGGGGTGTCCCAATGGCCCTTATGGGATACAGGAACCATGACATGATAATCTCTGATGTATTTCTGTGTTTTAAATGTTCAGCTCACCCTAAAAGGAAAGGAATTTTGCCAGCATAATTTTTAACATCCATACTTTGTTTGCTTGAACCAGTTTTCTGGTCTTCGTTAGTTTTGTTACATTTTATTTTTGGTCTTCCAAAAAATCTACAAAATCATTAAAAGTAAAGTTGAAATGAATATTATATTCAATTACACAAGTTTTGAACAGAGATAAAAAAACAATGTCATTTAATTTTCAAGGGGGTGAGGGGGTATCTTAGTTATTTCAATCACAATGTTCTCAAGTAAGAGGAGGTCAATATTTTAAAAATTTTTTAATGTTACACTTATTTCATTTCTGCATTTATTTTCTTTCATTTGTTCTTTCCATATAGAAATGTTGAACCCAGTTTCTATTTTGGTGAAAATTCAGAAAAAGATATTGAAAGATTTAGGAAGTAATTCACACAATTAGGCAGATTAATTTCTTCAGTACTTCTGCACTGCTCACATGTGGTGAAAAAAATGGTGACTCACCTCATCAAAACAAGTGACAGCATGTTGCATGTGTTACCTACTGGTGAAAAAGGAGCAATGTCATTCAAATTTTTGTTCCACCTCAACCAATCACTGTAACTTTTGACCTGTGGAGCTTTGTTTACTTTTACCACTACTAGAGCTCTTTAATCATATCACATTACATGCATTTTTATATGAATGGCTCCTGCCAAAGTTCAAAATGGATGTAACAGTTTGTTATTGTTACTATTGCCTAGATAGCATGTTTGGCAAATGTGCATCAGTACAGATGCAAAAGAGGCCTTTGATTGCATGCGGACATATTTGTCAACAACAGTTACATCAAGGTTTTCCCCATTAGCAGCAGGACAGTTTGGCATGTCTCGACACAGGCCTCTCTGCAACTGGTCAAGATCTGAGTCTTTGTAAGATGCGTTATGCCAATAAAAGCTGAAGGAAAGCAGCAGTTGGAAAGTTACAGTCTTGTTAAATCGGTCATATGAACATTTTGTTCCTTATGTTGTGATTTCCCATGCAGTGTTATTTTTGTTACCTCCCATCTCTTTCACCTCTCTTCCTATTACCCCCATAGTTGCTGGGAGAGCAATCAGTTATGTGTTTTCCCCAATCTCAACAGATGCTTTGCTTACATTACAACAAGCTATTTTGGCATGGCAAGTTCAACCTGAAGCTAATCCCCGAATTTGATGGTTCAGACAGATCTCACTATCATTGAATGGTCTGAAAAGGCTGAACTAGTCTGATCTGTGCAGCGTGAAGAACATTGCTACTAGCATTCTGCCACTTCGATTGACAGGAGGTGTATTTTTTGTGTTCTAACAACTCAGCAAGGAAGAAAGAAAAGATGTAGGCTGTATCAGGGATGCCCTGTTCATAGCTAGGTGCTTGAATTTAAAAGAAACTGTAGATGTCTATTTGGAAGGCTGTCAACCTTGTACAGAGGGATGTTTGACTGTAGACTTGCATATGCATTTGTAGCTGGGTTGCCTGAGCATGCTAGGAAGTTGCTTTGCACTTCCTCTCAAATAGATACACTGGTTGTCAACCAGGTATTAGACCAGGCTAGAGTCATACTGAAGGATGATACGCCAGTGCATGACAAACCTCTAAGCTTTGACTTACTTGCCGGAATAGATACGATAACTGCATTAGGTGGCACCAACAAGGGGAAAATGCATTCATACTTGACTTGTGAAAAGCATATCTTCAAGTACACGTAGCCATGAGTCATAGTAGGCATATCCAACCTTGATTATCAAGGGAAAGAGGTTCTGCCTAATGCTGTTGGAGTTCAGCCTCAATGTGGCACCTCTAGTCATGAAATTCATTATTGACATCATGCGGTCACAGGAGGAGTCATTTTGGAGAGTGATGTCGCTGTACATAGATATGTTAATGAGAGCATAATGTCTGTGGAACATATCAAGGCAAAATTGGCCCAGTATGAGCTAATGTGAAAAGATCCAGAATATTTGAAGGATGGTGTTCATGTCCTTGGACTGGAAGTCTTAGAGGAGCATAACACTCTGCTCCAAAAAGTGCCATGAAAAGAAAAAAAAAAAGGCAGAACTTACTGGTCAACAAAACCCTCCAGCTCATCAGCTTGTTCAGCTAAGGTGGCTTCCAAATCCAGATAGTTTCCATATTCACTGACACCAGTACGGTATCTGAAGATCTGTAAGGCACAATCATCCAACTGAAAAGAAAAGGATGACATAAGTAAATTAAGTATGAAAGATAAAAAACAAAACAGCAAATAAATATACACAATGCTGAAATATAAAGATAGAATATGACATTACTATCTCACATATTTTTTTCAAAGAGCAAATATTATAATTATAGACTATTTTCTCAGTAACACTTGAATTAATTCTTGACCAAATCAATTTCATTGATTCTGATTCTCAATGTAAATTAGAGTGCTAAAAGAAATTTTTGGTGAAAAACCCCAAAATTCAGCAAAATTAAATTCCACTTTGAAATGTTAATGTTATTATGGTGAGTTTTATTCATTTATATCTCTAATGATGACTTTCTTACACCAAGGCCAACATAGGTTAAAGGTGGCCTACTAAAAGGCTTTTTTGTAAGTGGAAACAAATTTCAGCCTTCTACTAACACCTCTGAAGTTTATATTTTGCACAGGCATTTAAGAAAAATCAAATACATATTAAATTATTAATTCACAAGATAAATGTGATATGAAAATTTGACATCTGCTTACTTCTTATATTTGCTTTTTGCATTTATACCTTTTTGTGGGATAATAGTTGTCAAGCCAGTATTATTGATCAGTAGTGAGTCAGATTCTCATTGGGTGCCTCATACTTGTGGCCTTGTACCAAACTAAGCTTAGTAAATAACACCACTGTATTGAAATGTATTTTATTTTTAATTATAACTAGCAGTAGAGCCCGGCGTTGCCCGGGGATGTAACAGTAAGAGATAGATCAAATATTGACCATCATAAAGACTGAAAAATAAAATTGACAAACATTATTGTTTAAGGTTGACGGACACGCATGTCTTAATTTTTTTTTTTTTTTTTTTTACGAATTGGTCAAACCCAAACTCAAACAAAAACATTGTTTACAATTGTTATGAGTCTATCGATCGGTGAATAGAATTTTATTATAAACAATTGTCTTGTAAATGGAATTTTTAAAGCATTCTGAATGTAAATAAAGAAAAAAGTGTGCAAGACAATAAGAAATACTACCTGCCAAAAAAAAAAAAAAAAGTGGATGTTTGTTTTATCGGCTGAAAAATGTAAGAAATCCGATCCCATATATAAAGGAACACACACACACACACACACACACACACAACCTGGTTTTTTTAACCTAAGTCACTCCACGGAATCGCTAAAACATAGAGCATAGTCTGATGAAAAAGACGCTAAAGTTTATGAAAACGAAATTTTATCGTCAAAATGCTTATGTTTTTATGAAGAGGATAGACTAAATTTTTTTTAATTATTTTTTAAAATTTTTCCATCTTTTAGAATATTCTAAATTTTGATTTAAAAACCTTGTTTCTCTTTGTCGCAACAATGGGTAGTAAATAACATAGATAATTTTTAGCGTTTTTTTTGTATTTACACACATTAATTTGGAAAATCTTGCAAAAATAAAAATAATTGTCAGATGTTAATGAAACTTTCAGAAACTATTCACAGATGATCGAAATTATTATAAATATGTTTTTTTTTTATTAAAGTCATGGCAGAAATATTTTTATTTATTAACACCCCCATAACTAATTTTATGAAAAACTCTAGAAATTCGAGACCATCGGTTTTAGTGATTACAATAGTTAAAAGCACAAGGCTTTGAAGAATGCAAATCATGTATTTTTTTTTTTTTGTTTTTTTTTTGGCCAACGTACCTGAAAATCAGCTGTGAATTGTAACATACAAAATTCAATAAAACAAATATATTATTTAGTTTCAAATGCTTTTATTTGTTTTAATTTGTTTTTATGAATATGGACAATATTTTCTGGAAGCAAAAAATTTTTTCAATGAAAATTGAATTTTTAATACAATTATTTCTTATTTCTTTAATTTTAAAAAGATTTTAAAAAAATGTTTAAATTGAATTTTAAAAATATTTTAACATTAGTTAAATGCAACATCAACCTTTCAAAATGTCCGTGTGAGATGGTCATTGTCTAGCGCTTTGAAAATTGTATAATTTGGACCAATCAGATTAGCCATGGTAATTAAGAAATGTAATTTTTGTGTTTATAGTCGGACAGTAATTATCAAGTGCGGAAGACCAACCAGAATACAATTTAGTTGCATTATTTGAGTTCAGCATTGTTCTCCGCTGTTAAGCCCTTTACTTTTGCGAAACATGTATGGAGAATTTAATTTGAGTTTTCAATTTCAACTGAGAAGGGTACCTACAAGTAACAGTATCATCTTATGAAATTTAACTACTGCTAAACTTTAATTTATATGATCTTATTTTTATATTAATCTCAGTTATGACATTTTTCCATAAATGAAATATCAAAATTAATAATAAAATGAATGGAAATACAAATAACACAGTAAAATGTAATAAATGTACATAAAATTATAATATTTTATGTACACTTCTGATAAAATTTCATAAGAATGGTACCTAAATTAATTAGATACCTTTTTCTTATGAAATTTAATCTCACTATTAACAGTCTTATTTTTTAATTTCTTTATATTTTCCATAAATCATCGTAAACATAAAAATGAAAGCTAAAAAAAAAAAAAAAAAAAAAAAAAAAAATTTAGAGCACTGAAAGTTTTCCTTAAAAGTAACGAGGTAAATAATTTGTTCACTTAAATAATTTCACTTCCTTCCATCCGTAGAAAGAATTACCCTCCTGTAAGTTATCTAAACGTCATGAATGTGCCTTTCGTCAATCGTCAAACGACGCGAAAGGTTATGACCTGCTTTGTTTTATTTTCAAATTACATTTTTTCGGCGCAGAAGCTAAGTTAAGCTTGGTTCAAAATATTTTAAATAAACGGTATAATATCTGTTTTTATTAAAATCAGTTTTGAAAAAAATGATAATTGATTTTTAAAAAATATCAAAGTAAGATTTTAATCTTTTTACCAAATCGAAAAAAATGATTAAAATGATTATCTGTCTTTTTTTTTGAAAAAAAAAAAAAAAAAAAACAATATTTTTAACGAAAATTTCAGACATGCTAGGAACGATTAAAAATGTAAAAAAATACTCCAAAAAATACTTTGATCTTTCCTCTTTAATAATAATATGAACATTAGACGATAAAAATTTGTTTTTCGTCAAGTTCGGCGTCTTTTTCATCATGCTATGCTCTTTTGTTTACATTTTCGTGGGTGAGTTGTCCCCCTTTCATTCTCACGATGTGTCTTAATCGTGTTTTCAAATTGATTTTCTTAAAAAACAACTGTGTTTTTCCCATTTTCGGTGCCGTTAGAACCACCAAAAGGTAATTTTATGTAGTCCTGTGAAGTTTTGTTGAAATCGGCTAAAAAAATGTAGAAAATTCGATCCAACATATAAACGTTACAGACACACACACACACACAACCTGCGTTTTATAATAAGTAAGATTTCAGTTATTTGAAACATATTCTTAGTAATAGCAATTTTTTTCAAAGAAATTTATACAAAGTTAAAACTTAAAATGTCATACTGATGCCAGGTCATGAGTTTCAATCTACCTAGGTGACTCATACTGTCAGGACACTGCATCAAAGTGGGCATTGGACCTCTACAGACAGAGCAGTCATCTACTGAGGAGAAGACAATTTGACCCCAAAATCTACTACCACAAGACTTTTCCATCATCTCACATTGGTAGGGGGAATGGCATGTAAACTCTTGATTTAAGGAGTGAAGTTAGCCACAGACAAACACTGTACTTAACTTGAAAACTTCAGTACATAGTTTAGCCTTCAGGCCTATGAACTAAGTTAACTTTATTATTTTTTAAAAATCCTTTTTAACCTGCATTTGTTTTATAATTTCAGGATATGGGCTGTGCTTTTAGAACTTTTAGGGATTTCCTTGGAGGGATGGTGCAGCAGGGATCTTGTTGATTTGTTAGCATTTTAAAAAACCTGCAACTATGACTGATGGGGTAAAATGCAGACATGTCAAAATCTTTTCTTATTATTGGAAACAATTCCATGATTAGTATTTAATTCTTATCTCTCTTGGATATACATTTTTGTTTTATTTAATCAATTTGTACTTAAATTACAAATTAATTGGAAACTTGTGGCCCAACTGGACTGGAAATTGCTTTAGTTAGAATATTTTAATTGTGCTAACAAAAATTGTAATATGATTAAGCATCCCAAACTGAAATTTTATTTCCAATATATCTAAAAACCTTTAATACAGACAGAGATCTTGATAAACCATGAAAAAAAAAAAAAAAAAATGGTACCAAATTTATCTTGGTAATGCAATTAGCAACAAAGTTCATAATGTTTGTTTCATGTGTTATTGGAAAAAAAGGCAATTTTAAAAGTGTATAACTGAAGATGCAGGCTTCAAACATGATAAAAATCATTATAAATGTAATGTCATATTTAGTAGTTTTGAAGTAAAAGGAAGATAATGGTAACAAAATCAATATTTCTTAGATTGACCAGCCTAAATATTGGGAAAACTTTGTTCTCAAAAAAAAAAAAAAAAAAAAAAAAAAAAAAAAAAAAATAAAAAAAAAGAAGAAAAAAAATCATAAAAATTATGACACAGAAGAGCAAATTTAACCAATCATATAAAGTTTCATTTCAGCAGATGACAAGAAAATCAGTTGACAAGACAAAGGAAAGAAAAAAGGGTTTCAGTGATTCTAATATTCTTTGTCTCAGTGGATACTCTTTTTTTTTAGGGTAAGTTCAGTATAGTATATTTTTGACCTGTTTTTGCCCTACTGTCAAAATTGCACTTCTGGTTGTTTTTATGTAATATAAATATTTTTTTTTTTTTTTATTGAGCTACTATAGGAAAAAAAAAATTAGCTTAAGATTATTTTCGTGGGTGTTCCTAAAAGGAAAGAAGGGTTTTCATGTACCAATTTCAAATTGGCATAAAGACATGTAGGTTACTTTAAATGTTTGTTCTCCTCCATTTTCTGAGTCACAGTGCCACTTATTTGTGGTTATTCATTTGCTGTGATATACATTTTTGGCTTCTATTGGTT